TCTCGCAGAACTTCAGGATACAGTGATCTGCTGCTTCAGCCATCCAGATTCAAGCAGACGCACAATCAAGCACCTTCTGTACTGTTTGCACGGAATAGTCTCGACCCTTTCCGCTTCGAAAATGCGACTTCTGGCCCTCGCTGTTTAGACGAAGCAGCGTTGATTTGCGCTGATCGTTCCTCAGCGAATGAGGCAAATTCATCACTGCCACCCCTTTCTGTTACAGAGGCCCAGTTCTGTCTTCCTCCAGAGCAGTCCAGCCAGATGAGCATGACGCCCAGAGCTATTAACACCGTGCTTGATGACCAGGTTGATAATTTCGAAACGAAATGGCTGGTGAGGAAGTGATGCGAAGTGTGGGCATTGCCGCCAGGAGGTCTGTCTCTGTAATGCAGGCCGGAGCAGCAACGGATGGGCCTGCTTCCAGGCACTGAGCACCTCGACATCAACACCGATCGGCACCTCAACGGCTGCAATAAGGCTGCTCCAACTACGGTGTGCTTATTTTGAATTAGACGCCTCAGGGGCACTTTAATGAGTCGTTGCCCAGCTGAGGTATGCTGCAACACACCGCATACACATACATGCAAGCACATACACACACACACACACACGCACATGCATGCCCACACACATTTTGCCATACATTCCGCATCTGTACGCTTATTCCACCGATGCATGGACTCTCGAATTCTTTCTGACATCACAAAGATGGGCTGGGAAGAAGATGTGGCAGCTTGCTTCACCCAATCAATACCTGCCCTTCCATCAGCTCATTTTTATGGACACCTGCGCTAAACGAGCTCGCATCCGTGCCGTACTAGCAGCTACTACCCGTACTAGCTCATCAAAGCCTAAACTAAGCATTTCTTCGCTCTCCTCTCCGTGCACGCAACACAAACCTGTCTGCTGACAGGACGGAACGATAGCATTTGGGAGAATACAAGAACACGCATTTTCAATCAAGTAGTGTTAAAAACACTTGCGTAATATGAAAAACTATTTAAAGAGAGCCAAATTTAGCAAAATGGCAAGCATTTCTTGTTAAAAAATGCTAGAGTAGCCGGCATTAAACCATAACTCACGAGATACCAAATCCAGGTACCGTCGTTAGTGGAAAACTGTGACGGAAAAATAAAAAAGAGTGGTCTTTAATCCTAAACTGCCTGAGCAGAATGGCCTTTTTTCCGCAGCCAAGAAGACACGCCTAATGGAAAATCTGTCACTGCGAACCTATCGTATGATGCGTTGTGGCCTACCATGCGCTACATTAAGCAGAGAAAGAATGCCTTCTGTTAGCAATGCAGCTTCTTCGAGTTTACTGAGGAAGCTTGGTTGCCCAGCAGATGCCTTTCATCAATTAATCGTTTCTGTTTCATTAAGTCACTTTCACAGTTCCTCTTGTACGACTTTAGCGATGCAAATGCGCACTTTCCTATCGGTGGCACTCTAAAGCAAACGGCATTTTGCTCCCGTAATGTTCAATGTGCATGCTTTCACTGCGATCGCGCAGTAGTCGGC